ATATATATTCCAATTGGAATAATTATTTCTTTTTTTATTAACATTTACATCACAACCTTTTCATAATCTTAATATAATCTTGGGTTTAAATTAGATGGAATTATTTTCAAAACGGTCTCCACGATTTTAATACTGCTTATGACAGGAAAAAATATGCATGGAGAATGGTGGACTTTGCCATACCTTCATCTATAAGAATGGCAAGATTCCCATCTGGAGAGATTCCCAAACAGCTGATGTTCTTTGTGGTGGATGCTGGTAAGGTTTCTGATTTGTTACTGAAGAAATAGGAAATACAACATTTCCTCAGTTGAAAACAGCATAACTTTCACCTGATAATGAGACAGCATTTTCAGCTCACAAACGCAGTTAGTCTGGCAATGAAATCAGGGTTATTATGAAAAGGACTGATAACGTTACTCACTTTTTCAGATCAAAGACGGAGATGCGGTTGCCAACAGGACTGATGGCAGAATTCCCATCTTTAGAGAAACACAGGTTCCCATGGCGATAAAATGCCCCCAATAAGTTGGAAAACTAGGAGAACGCGTTGAATTAAAATATTCACTGTCAGACATACATTCCGTTTTAAGTCAAACAATCGACTTTATTTATTTGTTTGTTTATAAATATTTTTGTCACAATAACCAGCAGGCAAAGTCTCACACAAATGTCTAATAAAAAAGCAATAGTTATTCCCGAGAAGAACATCAAAAGTAAAATTGTGTCTGTAGTACCTTGTATGCAAACTTCATGTTTTCTGAGATGTTATATTATAAATTATCCATTAAACATCACAAGTCCTGCGTTCTACACGTGAGAAATTCTAAATACGAACGCACATGGGTTCAAAAACACTTCCGGGTCAATACCAAACTAAAAGCACCCAGTATCGGCCCATAAAAGTCTCCCAAAGGTTATTACAAAAGGTATAGAATAAAAATAATGTGACAATAAGTAGGTATGAACGGTGGAGAGAAAAAAAGACTTCATTTTTATATTGAATATGGAATATATTTCACTCTTAATATGATTTAATTTATCATTTGTAGATGTTAAGCAACTACCTTTTTATTAAAGAAAAAACACGTATACACCTATCTAACGCGATCTAAGTTATGTTTCTCCCTGCTAAACAAACAAACAAACAAACAAACAAATAAATAAATAAAGTTTGTGCATGAAATGAAAAGTTACAGTCTAATGTGTCCACCAGATGGTGTCTTGGCACGATGCTGAAATCATTTCAACGTAAAACTCAAAAGAGAAATAAAGAAAAAATAAATGATAGATGAATTGATCTCGTTGTCATAAACCATGTCTCTTCTGTCTTTCAATTTGTGAGTATCTCTGATTAAAACGAATAATTTGAATACCTCCCGAACCCTGTTCTGTTCTCCAAGAGACGAGAGAAGTGACGTCAGCGTTTGATTAGCATATCTCCCTCTATATATTTCATGCTTGCGCACTAGCGCGCCACAGACAGTCCTGCAGTGTAATTCAGCGGAAGACTTCAAACTCTAATCCGTATAACAAAGGTACGTGTTTTGGAGTTACTCATATGAAATAATGCTATTGGTATCGTGTTAAGGATTGGTAAAAATGCAAACCGTTATATCACTATTTTTATTGAACGTGAAATCTGTTCTTTTCCAAATAAATCTGGGAAAAGGCTAACGTTATGCCTTTGCATTTGAAAACGCGGTGTGTTCAAACGTGTTCAGAAGGTTACAAATAGTAATAACGAATACGCAAATGTTGCTTTAAAGTCGATACCTTTAGGCGATCAAGGCGGTTAACCTATTTTCCTTTGTTAAGCCTCTTTGTGCTGCAAATGCATTAATAAAGATGTGACTCGTTATGTCATATGGCACATTTGCTGCCTTGTATCAAAAGCACCGTTGGCTAATGTGTTATAAGGTGTGATTGGTGAAGAGGGCGTTGAAAGAAACGGCAGCATTGTGTGCTGTGGGTGATAAAGCAGTACAGGGCGGTGGTTTTCTATAATGCAATCACATTTTGCGAAAGGCAGTCAAAATGCTTTGCTTGGCCGTGCACACGAAATAAATGGAATCATGAGCAAAAGTATGTAGGATTTTTACCTTAGAAAGAAAGAAAGAAAACACAAATGCTATCGCATTTAATCATTCATATTGTAACCTCAGCGTGGGAACTGCTATTGTTATGTAAATATAAATTTTTTGCTGCCTCAGACGCCATTCAGAAAGGGTGCGGTTTTGTTCATTTCTCTGTGTTAGTGTCAGGAACATCAGCGGGAAGTGATGCAAATCTCCACTAAATTAACAATAGTTTTCTAGAGCTTCATTGCCTCCAGTGTTTTAGAGAAGCAACCCTCGCTTTTGGCTTAAATGCTTTTGCAGACAAGAAAGATATGACATTTGTATTCTCTTTTGTTCCTTGAGCAGACAACCAATCATGTCTGACAAACCAAACCTTGAGGAGGTCACCAGCTTTGACAAAAGCAAGCTGAAGAAGACTGAGACTCAGGAGAAAAACCCACTGCCATCTAAAGAAAGTAAGAATTACAGCCACAAAACTGGCTGGTATTACATAACTACAGTAAGCTATGATATCTGTGGCCTTAGGTTCTAATTTGTAATTTTCTCCTAGAGTGCTATCAAATGACATTTAAACAGTCTGAGTGAATTCTACTCTTTCTTCTTTGTCCGCAGCCATTGACCAGGAGAAGCAGGCGGCCTCGTGAAGACACAAGCTGCCATCATGCACTGTGCACACTCCCTTCCCTGCATTGCCTTTTCATTCACTTTTAGCAGTATAACTTTGTAACCAAAATGTCAAAAAAGAAAATATGAAACAGAAAAAAAAAAAGAATCTAAAGCTGCATCACTGTCAGATGGGATGAGCCGACCCCTCTAGCAACACCTAGATGCATCCGGACTGCCTCCCTTGTCCAGTCCAGTGATGAGAAGAACAGAACGCTTCTGTTTCGAGGAGCATTAGGCATGGATTCATCTGGTGGCCACGGTGGGCTGTTTTGCATTGGTTTCGACTGTTGCCATAGGACAAGGGGGTGTGGCCTAGTGGATATCCCCAAATTTGTATCATCTGGTTGAGGCGTGGCTTTTTGTTGACAAGTGACACAAAGTTATGGCATCATATTTTTTTATTTCAAATTTTAGAATAAACTGCACAATCTTTGGTTTTTATGTTGGTAATGATTAACAACTTCTTGTTAGTGCTGCTTCAGTGAAATGCATTTTTTTTTTTTTTTTTTTTTTTCTGTGTAAGAAAGGGGAAGAGAAAAAAGCAAATTCAATCTAGATGTGAAAACGCTTCTAAGGACCGGGTGTTGTATTTTATTTGATTGTGCCCTTTTTATTGATGTGGTTTCGGGGTTGCTTTGTGTCGCACCCTGTCTTGGTTGTCTTGTTCGGTGGTTATCACCTTTCAAAATGTAAATTCAATGTGATCGCTTTCAGCTGTAGATCTTTTTTTTTTTTCTTGGGTTTTGTAAAAGGAATAAACCTCAGCAACCATGTTATTGCCACAAACCATTTATCAATAATGGAAAATTGAAACCGTTGTAATAAAAAAACTTTGTTATCAGGATTTTCGTGTTTAGTCTTAATTTGTTTTCATTTGCCCTTATGCAAGATCTGAAAATAGATCAAGTTCGCTGGGAATGCTAACGTGTAAATATTTCACCCTTCATTCACTGACCATGCAATTAGCTTGTGATCATGATCTATTGTGGTGGGGATTTCTGAAGCTGCCTTCTGCACCATGGATTAGTGTCTCCTCTGAAATCTAATTACATCAGCATGGAGACACGGATTCCATATCAATAGGTATAAAACAAAACTCCGGTTTAAAAAAAATGTTAGAAGTACATACAGTACAGTACATATCAGTGAAACCATTTTAGCTCTATCTGACATTGAAAAATCAGCTTTTCTCATTAGACTTGTTAATCCACACCATGACTGTTATTATTATGATTACCTTCCTAACTGTCTTTATGGACAGCCTAAGTATACCTGCAATTAAAGAGGACAGTGGCACACTGTTTCCTCTCAATGTGAAATTAAAATGTTCTTCCTTGATAGAACAAGCAACTCCTCGGCTGATTTTCTCTGCAGTAGAACTGTGTTTGGCATTCTAATCACCATGATTTTAGCATGTGTCCTTAAGTGGATTGGTGTTAAGCCATTTACACTTAATACTGTATTAATCTCTTGGAAATGACACTGGTTGGAAGTGATGGGCTAGAAGATTCTGTGTTTGTGTCCATTATATGTCAGTGACATCACAAGCAGATGAATTCATAAAGCTTTTCTGCATCTGCAAGTCTTTCTAATTCCAGTCAGTTATATGTCATGTCATATACAAGGATTTTAAAAAAGCATTCCCGTCCTGGTTAAAACAAGAAATGCCAACGGCTGATGCTTAAATGAAGTGCAAATTCAGGCATGCCACAGAATCTGTCAATAGCTGTTTGAGCAGAGTATATTAATGGCTAGTTCCTCAGGGCTTCTGTTACATAACTTGTAGTAAATTAATTGAATGGACTACTCTGTCGAACAAAGCCTAATGGGCTTTGTTTAAGAAGCTGCTGTTTGCCTTATGATCAGAGGCGGACAAAGTACACAACTGCATTACTTGAGTGAAAGTACAGATACTACTGGTCAAATACTACTCCACTACAAGTGAAAGTTGTAAAGACAGGCCATTTGTATTGCCATAGTTTAACTACAAATATTAAACTATAGTTACTATAATGAAACTATGTTAAATTTGTGGTTACTGTAGTTTTACTACAAATAGCATAATTATGGTTACTATAGTGAGAGAAGAGTACATTTGTGGATACTGTGATTTTACCGCAAATACCATAGTTAAACTAGTTACTATAGTAAAAACATGGTTAATTTAATGAGTTAACACATTCACATGCGAGTTCACACAGAATAAAAACTATAAATTTTCTCTGTCATGTAGATCAAGGTGTAGGTCATTTCATTTATCTTCTATGATCTTTGATCGTAGCGCTCGGCCAACGTACGGCATCACATACAGTGGAAGGTCCTGGTAGATCGCAAGCTGGATTTTCGCAGAAAAAAGGGTTCAATGAATCTGAAAATGCACACACTGGAAAAACTGCTACATATAACGACTTTCTACTTGGGGACCTTGATATAAATGTAGCGGAGTAAAAAGTACGATATTTGTCTTTCAAATGTAGTGAAGTTGAAGTAGCAAGTTTCCAGAAAAAATAATACTCAAGTAAAGTACAGATACTCAAAAAGTGTACTTAAGTACAATACTCAAGTAAATTTACTTCGTTACTGTCCACCTCTGCTTATGATTGTGTGAGAATGTAATTTATAGTGTAACAGTTGGATTCTTGAAGTAAAAATGCCATTCATTTTCTCCATATAGTGGAATTGTTTTTGAACTTAAACTTTTAAAGACAGACCTACTGTGAGTTTGGTCTGAGAGGTTGTTAATCGATAGTATATGCTTTTGTTGAAGTCATCAGCCTGCATTGTTTCAACTCATTTTTAATGAGTTCAAGTTTTCAAAGGCTAAATTCCATGTTAAAACCTACATTACCCATGATTCTGCAAAGAAATCTCCACCAATCAGAGAATCGAAACAAGCAAATCATGCCAAAAGAATACTTTAGTGCCCATCCACTCCCAAGAAGCACTGTGATAGAACATAATAAAAATGACATAATATAGTCTGGCTAGTGGCTACATCTGAAATCACATACTCTCTGAATAGGTACTTATTTTTAATGAGTAATTACTTTGCGACCATTAAAATGTATGTGAATGTGTGTAGTATGAATGTAATCTGGACATACTACATTCGTCATGTTGTCGTTGACGTGACCTACCATCATCAGTTGCTTCACGTTACTGTCATTCACAAATCATCTCCCGTGGCCTCACGGGATAGTAAAGTGTTCATCAGATGCACTTCAGAATCTTGCCGGAAGTAGTAAGTCATCCAGGTACTTCTTGCCTATTGTTTAATGAATGCTGACATACTACTCTTTTCACATACTGTTTTTTTTTTTTTTGCCTGCTATGAGATTTCAGATACAACCTCAGTCACCTTAAACTCTTAAACTACTCAATGCATATTTTGCAATAAATGTCAAATACTGTATGTTGTTTCTATATCAGCAAAATCTGAATATTTAAATCAATAATTTTATATTTACACATTTTATTTTGATTATGTCATTGGTAATGTTGTTCTTTCCCTCATTAAAGCCATTAAAGGGGTCATATGATGCGATTTCAAGTTTTCCTTTCTCTTTGGAGTGTTACAAGCTGAGTATTGTATCTTTGTCTTTTTGTCTGATTTTTAAATACTTTTTTTTTAATACTATATTTGGCCTATAAACCAGTGTTCATGATTTTGATTATTAAATTAAAATAATATAAGAAATAACAGTTTGCAATATCAAACAGCATAAAGGACTGATTTTGTACAACTAAAATAACTGGAAGAGATTGACAACAGAGTATGCACGACGCACATTCAAGTTACAAATGACTTACATTACATTAAAAATAAGGTGGATAGCAGAAGAATAACAGTGTACAGTATAATGCTGTGAATGTTATGAAATGTGTGATTACATGAGCACTTATATGTATCCATATCATTAATTGAGACCTACAGTGCTTTCATGTGGAATGCAGTATCAAGCCTCCTCTCTCCCAACTGTCTGCCTCGATGTTACTAACATCTGTTGAGGCACAATCTCAAAGCTGCCCCACTGTGTGACCTCAGTAGAAAGCTGCAGCCTGTTTGGCCCATTGATCATTCCAGTGTGTCCTGACTGAAGCCAATGGGAGGCCATTTAGCTTTTCACAAGCCGTTGCACATACAATTGTGGTTCAGTGATCTTTCATGTCTCAGTGCTTGGCTCAGACAGACAAATGAAGTTGAGCCTTTGGGATGCTGGATGACTTAATGAAGAGTGCACTGGAGAGGGACCTCCAA